TTGCTTCTATTTTTACCATTTTTTTCCCCTTCTGAAGTTAGCATGCTAACCAGCTAGCTCCAATGTGTGTTAATCATTAACAGTGCACAGTGTTTTGTTGCTTATCAGTATGGGGAAATAAACTACTAAAGAACAGTTGGCTCAGTGTGAACGTTAGTGTGTGTTTCATATGTGGATGATTCACTTGTCTTTTACAAATCTTCTAAAACTGAAACTACATGCCAACACTTGTTGAAGGTGCTTTTCCTACAAACCTGCAAAAATATTTCTCTTTAAATTTCCAAATACTGACAGAACATTTCAAGACAGCTTTAAAAGCCTGCAGCACAAAAAAGTGCAGACTCTTGTGAATTCAATGTGAAATTCCAATGGAAAAACTGTAGCATCGGCAATGAATCAGGACATGATTAAGCAGAGTTTCATGAGTTTCATGCATGTGCATAAACCCATGACACCTACAGCTCAGACTAAACTGCACATATGATGATCTGACAATGAAATTACATGTATTATTATCCTCAACCATGAAGAAATCATCAGTTATCATGATGTCCTTTTCCATTTGTGGCGTACACAGACTGGCAAGGCTGACACACACACACACACACACCACAAGCCTCCGTCAGTGGCAAGGCCTCGACACACCCAACACATCAACACACACCCAACACAATTAGGAGCCCTCCAGGCACAGTTAGTGAAACAGATCCTCAGGAATGTGATAAAGAACAACACAACAAGCTCCATCAAGACCATTTCCATCACCAGCAGCCAAGCAGCACAGATATTGATCCATCCCCTCAACACACACCAGCAGCAACATCAGCTGTCTGAGTAAGTTGACAGGCCAGGCCTGCCCAGAATAGCTATGGCACCACAGACTCGGTATGTGGCCTTAAATCAAAGAGCACTCACAGACCTGCAACATTAACATCCATGATGTTACACTGAACCATTTCAGTCAGTTCCTCCAGTAAATTTCACTTATTCATGATAAAACCAAACCAAGATTAGCACCGAATATAACGTTCAGTTTAGACCTGGCTGCTGTGTCAGTGGCACACAGGCTCACAGCTGCTGTGAAAGTTGACATTTTAATATTGGAAGTGCTGCTCTGTGTAGGACTGGGTGTGTGCTGGATTAGAAATGAGCTGGCTCAGTGTGTGATGTCCTGCTCTGGCATGTAGAGGAATCAAGCACATAGGGAGAGACAGGCTGGGGGACAGACAGGCTGAGGGACAGACAGGCAGAGAACCAGAGGGACAGACAGACAGAGGGACAGACAGGCAGTGACAGTATGTCCTGAGCCTTGGGGCTGGCATACTTACAGGGACAGACATCTTGCTGGTGCTGTCTCTCTCCTGGTCTCCTGGCTCTCACACGGTGGTCTTCTTCTTCTCCTTCTTTTCCTTCTCTTCCTTCTTCTTCTTCTTTCGAGTCGTTACTTTCCAAACAGGACGAGGTTTTTAATCACGGCTCCTCCGATGTCAGTCCTCCATCGTCCATAGTTTCCAGCCCGCGGTGAACATCCAGCTGTAGACAGGGGGTCGGTTGAGTTACAGTGTGACTGTCAGTGGATGTGTCTGCAGCAGAGGCAGCAGGGTTTACGGCAGCAGCAGCAGCAGTGCGCCGCCTCGGTGTCCAGCAGACCCGACGCTCTCTCCTTCGTCCTCCGCCGCCGACTCCTTCTCTCAGCCGTGTGGTAAGAAGCTTCAACAAACGCGTTAACGATGCAGCGATAATCCGGGAGGTCGAGCGGCTTCCAGCGTCAGTGACAGGTCTGTGCCGTCAGTGAACGGGAGGACAGCTCCACCTCTGCCGCTGTCTGCTGCCGTCCGCCTGCAGGCACGAGCCAGTCCAGCCTTAAAGGGGCCGCCTCACCACAAACCCAGTAATTCCAGTAATTCCAATAATTCCAGTAATTCCCATTCCTTATCATTTAAAAAATGCACAGAAGGAGCACTTTCAATATTAAATAAATACATAAATAAATCAATACAGATATGACATAAATCCTGAAATAAATAAATTAGGTAATAAATATATATATAAATAAATGTAAATATAAATATATAAGGGAGTCAATAAGTAAATAGCTTAATTAATTAATAAATTAATTAATAAATAAATTGCTTTTTATTTTATTTCACATTTATTCATTTCTGGAGACTTTTATTTCCAAATGCCACATTTATTTTCCAGCTCCTTTTACTTCCATCTGTTATATTCAAATAAGGGGGCGTAGTTATCTCACAGATTCAGACCAAAAAAGAAGCTATTTATTTATTTATTTATTGACAACATAGTCTATAATTATTTGCATTATTTGCACGAGACAGAAATAAGTATTCATTCAGTGAAAGTAGTAACTGCAGCAATAATATTCAGCACCCACAGACTACTTTGTTTCTGACCCAGCTGATTTGTTTTTCTGTCACTGATCTCTGCAATGAACTTGATGAACACAATGTTATTATTATTATAAATAGAAATGATTGTCAAACTAGAACAATTTGCAACTGCACTGAATAATCCTGTTTGAAATACGACTAAAATAATAATAACTCTAATGTGTCCACAGTGAGAAGGTGGATCAGAGATCGCATTAGATCGTCATCTAAACTTATCCTGTTTCAAAGAGTTTATTTCAGAGCGCCTCAGCTGATGTAATGACTCTTCTAGCTCTGAAATTTTGCACTTTGCTTCACACCTATCCACTGCTCAGCACTTCCTCTATATGCTGTTATAAGTATTGATGTCACTCTATGTTATTTTTATTATTATTCCAGCTCATTTTACATCAATGTTTTTAATGTTTTAATTTTACATCAGTGTTTTTAACATGTTTTTATGTTCATCTTATCTCTTCTCATGTGAAGCACTTGGTGCATGTCATTTCTTTGTAGTAAAGCACTTTGTGCTACATTTCTTCTATGACAAATAAGGTTATTATTATGATTATTATATTATCATTCTTGTAGCTCTCCTATATTTTAGTTATTTTTCCCATCATTAAAAAAAAATAAGTTAATTCTGACCTTGACTCTGCTGAGTTTTCAACCAGACACTAGATGATGGTGACTAAATCCAGACTTTACTGTGTCCCTTTAAAAACCCACAAGATTACGTCGTAGATAATGAGATGTGTTTTTAATTTAATGCATGTCTCTTACTCTGATCAAATGTGTGCAGAATAAACAGCACCCCACCCACCCCCCCCCCACACACACACAACACACACACACACACACACACACACACAATGATCCATGGTTTTAATGAGACTAAAACCCTGATCCTCTGTGCTGCAACAGAGCACACACACGAGTAGAGATGGTTTAAGATATCACATGTCTATAAATAATTACAGCTCCATGTTAAAGTGATCTGCCCTCTGGCTATCGTGTAAATAAAATAAAACAAGAGAGGCTGCTGATGTACACGGCTCCTTCTAGTTCTGATCTGGTCCGCAGCTGATCGACTGAGTCCATCATCATTAGAGATTACCTCATGGCTGCTGTGGGGAATCATTACAGTGAACTGCCTCTGCTGAGATGTTTTGATTGAAGTGGAGTTTTATCATCTCATGATGATGTAAACGCTGTTTCAGCCTCCTCCATCCTGACAAGAAGAAAATTAGACACACACACACACACACACACACACACAGATAGTGGGATTTTTATGGCATGGGGCTGACAGGAGATTATCCTCACACATGTTCATATGCAGCTTATCATGGTTGAAGGTGTGTGTGTGTGTGTGTGTGTGTGTGGAAGGCTTTAGTAGTGAATCACCAGCTGTTTTAGGCAGCAGTCAGGAGCAGTCCTCTTCTGCTTTATTCAACATGCACACAGTATTTCACCATCTCTTCATGAGTAATGTGAGTAAATAGCTCAGGATTTACTGTACTGACACCCAGGCCCTGTTCACACCTGTTCACACCTGCATTAACATGCGTCTCCCTTAAACTGCAGATTCATGTTCCCTCCTTTCCACCGCACCTCTGAAACGACCTCCTCCCACCTTACAGATAGAGGCCAGGATGAGGCCTTCCCCCTCTATGTCTCCAAACCCCCTTCACCTTTTGAGTTCTGCTGGGTGTTTGTCATGTGTCTTTTGCTTTATCTTCAATGTAAGTATCATTTCCTTTATTTCCTTTTTATCGTTGGGACAATGGTATGTTTAAAACAGATATGGAAGTTGATTGATATCGTTTAATCTAATCTATTTATTTATATTTCATGAAGTAATGCTAATCATTATTTGAATTATTTGTGCTTCTAATGCAAACCCTATTGTAGCCAAGTTCTATCTGAAAGACATGCTGCTAAACATGATGTGAACGATGCAGGGCTCCAAATTTATGGATTTGCAAAAGAAGAAGAATCTATTTAAATGCCCAGTGTTTAGGATCTAGTGGTGAAATTGCAGATTGCAACCAAATGAACAACCCTCCCCTCACCCCTCCCTTTCCAAGTCTGTCGGAGAATCTGCAGTGGGCTGCAGGTAACGTAAAAATGCAAAAGAACCTTGATCGGAAGGTCCACTTACTTCAACAAAAGGTATTAAATTGAGTATTTTCTAAAACTACATCTGACTAAACTTCTGATGACGGCTCTTTAGGTGAATGTGACCGTCGTAATTTATTACAACAATAATGGAGCTACATAAACAACAGTGTTCTTCCTGTCCTATGAGTCAAATCAAATATGAACCATTTATGTGAAATTTCATCTTAATAGCTGAATGAAGTCTTGAGTAATGGCTAAAAAGCGTTTTCTGAGGTCACATTGACCTTTGACCACCAAAATCTAATCAGTTCGTCTTCAAGTCCAAGTGAACATTTTTCCAAAAGTTCCCTTAAGGTGCTACTGAGATATTGCATCCACGAGAATGGGAACTACAGACGGACGGACAGATAACCTGAAAACAATACGCCTCTGGCTCCAATTGTCAACTGGAGGAATGAAAATAAAGCAGACTTCAAATGATCCGTTTGTGTTTATTGCATATTTGATATTTACAGAGAACTGTATAAAGACAAGAGATCAAACATCCCTCTCACCTCTCCTCCTGTCCGTGTCTTCGTGTTTGTTCATAACCAGGACAAAACAACAGCTGAGGGACGGGTCGGTGTCAGCCATCAGTGTCCAACAGTACCTGGTAACACTGGACAAGAGTGCCAGGATGCGTTCAGGGAAGAAACGTTCACAAAACGTTCACAAGAGCCTTGAGTTGTGTTGCCTTGCAGCCAGTCGTGGGTGAATTCAGAGCTTTGTTGAAATGGTTGGATCAGTTCAGCAGCTGTGGTCTGGTGCTCTCTTCTTGTTTGTGCAGAATATAACAGAACTAATCTGGGACTTCAGTGTTTAGTCCACATACCAAACAGAGAGAGAAGACGTGATGTCTTAAAGTCAAACATTTAATTATTTATAAGCAGTAGCTTTAACACAACTCTTGTCTGGGGATCTTGTTTCTGTGTTACAGACCATGGACGTTATCTTTAAGACTCCAGGTATTAACATATGATCTGGATTACAGACCTGCGCTGCCCTCACACACGTCACGTGTTAATGCCTAAGCTTTAACTTTGAAAGGAAAATTCATGTTGGTAAAAACGAACCAGATCCTCACTAACTGCTTTATTTAACTTGTTGTGCTCGACTGTCTGACAGCTGTTAAACTGGTGAGTATGATGTTTTCATTACAAAGAGAAATAAAGGACAAAATTACAAAAATAAGAACAAAGCTGTAATAAAACTAAATGGTTCTTTAACCCTGAAGCTGAGTCCTGGTCTTCAACAGGAAGTAGGAGAGAATGACCTCACTTCCTAGAAACGCCCTCAGTGAGAAGGTTGGTTCCCACGACGATGGAAGCACAGAACAGTCAGAACACAACCATGACACAAACTCTGCCTATTAATACCCCGACCTGAAATAGACTGAAGCCACAGCACCAGAGAGCTCCACAACTCTGTCATTAGAGACAGATACAGGCAGTCCAACATCTGTTCCACTGTATGTGTGTGTGTGTGTGTGTGTGTGTGTGTGTGTGTGTGTGTGTGTGTGCGCGCGCTGTCAGTCTGTGTCATCATTTCATGTTGTTCAGTCGCACTGCTTTTTCTAACTCAAACTGGCGATGGTCGACTCGCTCCAAGAAGTTCTTCCGCTCCACATACCTAAACACACACACACACACACACACAGAAGGAAAGACAGAGAGCTTTAGACATACTTTTACCATCAAAAGTACAAACACACTGAAAATACAAATGAGGACAAAGAGTACAGAAGCAATGTGCCTTCTCTCTCTCTCTCTCTCTCTCTCACACACAGGCTCTGATACCATACTTAACATGTACTAACTTCCAACCAAGCAGAAGAATGGGAGCTAATTTAAAAACACTCAGACACAACAGGGACTCAAATCAATTTATACACACACACACACACACACACACACACACACACACACACACACACACACACACACACACACACCTACACCACTACACACACAGCAGGAAAAGCTGTGTAACTGCTTTCTGTGCTGAAATGGAAAAAGTGGAGAGAGATGTGGGTTAGTGGTAGGAAAATGTGTGTGTGTGTATGTGTGTGTGTGTGTGTAGGGGGGGGGGGTCTCTGGAGTACCCAATCCTCCATCTCTCTCTCCGTCCTGACTGAAGCAGGACTCCTGCTCCTATGTTTACACTCTCTTCTTTCAAGCTGTTGCTTCATAATTAAAAACTCTCTGTCAGCTCTGTGTGATTATTGACATAAAGCATAAAAGCCATCATGTCAGATGAATTGTCACCAATGTAACATATTGAAAAAAAAATCTAACAGCTATTGGTTCTCTGCAACTCTTCTTCTTCAAAAAAAAAAATCACCTCCTGGTGGTTGTCTGCCTCCCCCACTCAGACTAGTCTCAGGTTTCATCCCTGTTTAAAATGTCATAATTGTGTGAAGTCTTGAATAATGGCTGAAAAGTGTTTTCTGAGGTCACATTGACCTTGACCAAAAGTCTAATCACCAAAATCTAATCAGTTCATCCTTGAGTCCAAGTGAATGTTTTCACATCCGGTGGCAGCCGTATCCAATGTGTCATTAGTCCATCATATGTGCTAACTGCTCACTCCTGTAGGGGATGTAACTGAGACAGCCTTCTCTCTCAGTATATGTCTTTTAATATCATGAAAATAAAATGATCCATGTATGTGGTGATAGGCACAATGTCTGACATAATAATCACATATGAATTAACAGTAGACCAAACTCTAATTTGAACACTGAAACAAAAGGCTTTATACTATTGTTGCCTTGTAAAGTGAATATGACGAGCATTCACTTTACAGATAGATAAAGATCTGACTGTGGTGTCTGTCACTGAACTGTCACACAACCTTAAAGAGCTGGAAAACACAAGATGTAAGTCACACCAGCATTTAGAACAGTAGCACTGAGACACTGACTGACAGGATTCCATTGAATATCAGCACATCTGGATGCACATGTTCTGTAGTCAGTCAGTCAAAGTGAAAACAGGCTGGTTTGTACAGCAGGACAAGGATCCATAGCAGACCTCAAAATCCACCATGAACCACTTCAGCAAAAGCAAGCTGAAGCTTTTGGAACAGACCCCGGACCACCCCCACCTGAACATCACTGAAAACCAGTCTTAAATCTGCTGTGTGAGCAGGACAGATACGACGTGAACTGGTCTGCAAGAAGCGGCCGAAAATCCGTATAGAATGGAGAGACTGAGCTGCTACACAAAGTGTTTGCAGGCTGGAATATTCACCGATCAACATTATACTGACTTATTGCTGAGCTCTAACTGCACATAGCCACACCCCCATCCCAAATTCATGTACAGACGTAGCTTAGAGGCCAATTCCTGGTTCAGCCGAGGCGCACTGAACCTTCTGCAGTTTTGTGATGCAGTCAAGTGGGACTGCTCTTGCAGGAATGACACTGACAGAGACGCTAAAAACATTGACTGAGCCGGTAAAGACAATAATGGAGCTGGTAAAAACAACCACCGAACTGGTAAAAACTTTTAAAACTTTGTGTGTTTTGACAGCCCCATGTCCAGTCCACCTGTGCTCTTGTCTCATCTCTTTCTTTGTCTGAGGCCTGTTTAGACTAAAACATGGTTTCTTCTTCAGTGGAGGAAATTTTGGAAGGTCGCTTTCACCTGAACGCTGTGTGTCACACTGTGACATCTCACCTGTGGGCGGAGCCTGTGTGTTTAACATGGGGTTTTAACAGCAGTTTAAACTCACATGCACTAACATGCACGGCCACCAGACCTGCTACCAAAACAAAGACTCAGATTACAACACCACACACACACACACAGAGGGGGTGTGACTTCATTCTCTGCTCAGGACGCCGTTACTCCACTATATCTTTATGTAGAGAACAGCTGCTTGCTGCTGTATTATTGTCATGTAAATCTCGTTTACAGAACCTTTAAGGTTAACAGATCTAAGACTCACACTGGGAAATGTGGACAGGAACAGATCAGATGAACAGACTAACCATACCTCCATAACCTCAATATCAAGCAAATAGCCAAAAAAAAACATTGAGACTGGTTGACAGGTGAGTTTTCCTCTACTTCTGTAGTGAGATAAACCCTGAATCTGAATATGAGTGATGCAGACGACTTTGACTGCATCAGAGAGCAGAGGGGAAACGTGTGTGGAGTGAAGGAGGAGGGATCAGTGTGTTACTACTTCAGGTCACTGTACAATCTTAAATGAAACTGAACAGAATCCATGGTGAGCGTGACTGTGTGCTCTCAGTAGAGGAGAAGAGAGGGGGAGGGACAGAGGTGATAATGCTGGACTGACATTCAGTGACAGCCCTCACGATGTTTTAGAGTTTTTACCCTAACAATATATTTCAGTGAGAAAAAGTAAACTGGGGAAATATTTTGTAATTTCCAGGATCAAACTGCCCCCGGACCACCACACACTGACAGGATCTTACCCCTCTCTGCCTCTGTTGTGGATGGCCAGCTCCTCTGTGATGCCCTCCTCTGATTTAAAAGCGTCCCAGTCCATCTTTGACTTCTCCAGCGTACTCATCTTCTGCTTCTTCCCCCCAATACGACTCAGGACGCCCGACACGCCTGCAGGCCGCTTCGCACTGCAAACACACAAGAGGACACAACCTGAAGAAGACACACACACTGCAGGTGCTGAAGGGTTTCCACTACACACAGCAGAGAGTTTATGATGAACAGGATTCATTCTAACGCACTAAACTACTTTCCCACAGAAAGACTGTTTACAGCAGGCAGACACTGTAAACTTCAATTCAGAGCCTCTGCACTGTCAGTGATCTGTTGCTGATGATGAGTCAGAGTGTGACAGAGCAGCTTCAGTTCTGTTGAGGCCAGTGGAAGCAGCTGTGTTGTACTTGCTGGGGTCGGTTATATACAAAGAATTGCCGCATCAGACACAGCAAACTGCAGAGTGATGGAAGAACACCTGTAGAAATAATGAATTACTGGTGAGCACAGCTGGTCCATTTGCTTGTATGTATCAACTGCATGGGTGCTGGAACCTTCCTCTTATTGGTAGGATTCTTATTAATCGTCCTTTTCCTCTTCACGTGACCTGCAGACAGCTAGCCCCAGAGATGAGTCGACAAAGCCTCATGCAAACATACCTGCTGCTAGAAAACAGCAAGTTTATTACAAACTTATAATCATTAACTTGGTGACATGAGATTCTCTCTGGGCAGTAAGTGAACAAATGTGTCTGAACAGTCTCTGGTTAAACACAGACAAAACTGAGATTACTGTCTTTGGTGCAAAAGAAGGAAGGGTTTGGAGTTTGCACTGATTTGTCTCTGAAAATGACAATTGGATGACCAATAGTTTAACTTCAGTCAGTGAAATTCACATTAACAGGGCTGACTCCACAAGTATCAAGAGGATTCTAGTCCAGGCAGGACTTAGAGAAACGGATCCACGCCTTCATCTCCAGCAGGTTAGATTCAACAGCTGCTGCTAGAGTCCTGAGCAGGAGAAGTGAACACATCACAGCAGAGTGGAGAATAGACACAGCATCTACTGAGCACCACAGAGCTGAAAACTGAGACTTGTTCTGACTTTAACCACCTTTAAATCCGCAATCTTTCTTTTACTGAACCTTCAATCCTCATCATGAAGTCAAATCAAGTCAATTTTTATTTGTATAGCGCCAATTCACAACATACGTGATCTCAAGGCACTTTCCAAATAGAGCAGGTCTAGACCTTCTCTTTATAATATTATTTAAGACCCAACAATTCCCACCAGGAGCAGCACTAGGCGACAGTGGCAAGGAAAGACTTCCTTTTAAGAGGCAGAAACCTCGAGCAGAACCGGACTCAGGGTGGGCGGGGCCATCTGCCAAGACCGGTTGGGAGCTAGAGAAGGAGAAAGGAGAGAGAGAGGCACATAGCCTGGGCGCTCATGTGTTTGAGAGAAAGAACAAATGGTTAGAATGATGCAGTGATATTCAGAAAGTTTCCAGGGATGAGGTCCCACCCGCCGGTGGTAGGATGGCAACAGGTACAGAGCCTGAGTATGTTAAAGAATAAGAAGCCGACTGAAAGTTAAGGCATAAAAATACATTTTAAGTTTAGATTTGAAAGTGTGAACAGAGTCAGACAGTCAGCCTGACAGAGTCACAACATCAACACGCTGCAAAAATGTAAGGTTCTCATGTGTGTGTGCAAGTGTGAACCATCTTCTCCTCCTGTTCTGTATTCATGTCTCTGTTCTTCACTGTTCAATTTCCATTACAAATTTTTATTTTAATATTTTGATGCTTTTCTGTTGTATGCATGTGTTTTTAATGTATTATGTAAAGCACTTTGTCTTACTGAATGAAATGTGATATACAGATAAACCTGCTTGGCCTCATCATTCAGCCACTGTGGACCAATCAGTTTTGGGTTCAGCACATGGACGAAAATAAGCAGACAAAGTCCACAAAACCTGACATGTTAGGATTGATTTGGTTAAACCACAACAAAATACTCAAAAAATTACATGGGTTTAAAGTCCACACAAACACACACAAACACACACACAACCAATAACTCAGCTGCAAATAAAACATGACAGGCTGAGCGTGTGATAAATGATTCTGTTTATATGTGTTCCACTCTGTAGAGAGGCTGAGAGATGAGTTTAAACATCACAACAACAGGTCCGTTCAACACTTCAGTGCCAATTTAGCAAAAAGAAAAAATACTAATTTAGTATTTAACTTTGTAAAAAAATATTTTTGCTGCTCAGAATATTTTTTTGTTGCTTCGTTTCCAATTCGTCCATCATCACAGTTTTATTCTGGTGTCACTGCTGCTCGTCCACATCTCTGGTCCATGAAGTGATTGACACAGTATGAGGAGAGTTTTCTTTGAAACTGAGAGCTGTAAATCTGTGAAAGCATCATGATGATCCACTGGAGACCACAGAGCTTTTCATTCACTGCAGCAGGACTGGACTCAGACGCTGTTAATGACTGAATCATTTACACACTGTTGTTTTGATATTCCACACTTAAACACACACACATGAGAACATTACATTAATGCAGCGTGTTGACGTTTCAACCAGAGGTGACTCTGTTAGGCTGCCTTTACACTACTATGTTTTCATTTTAAAACTAAATGATCTCGGTCCAGACGAACACACCTGAAAGCACATACGTGAGCATTCATGTACACTGGGCATGTGTGGGCCGGTGTAAACAGGAAGCACATTGTCTTCTCTGCAGATGATTAGTTACAGTGAATCATCTGAACAAGGAACAGCAAAGCCAGCTGTACAATTAGTAGCAGTGTGGATGGCAGGAGTAAACATAGGAAAAGAGATATACAAAAATGTAGTGTGGCTGTGTCCTTAGATTTATAGTATCAAGTGAGAACTATATCACTGAACATCTTGGTTCTTTTCATCTGTGTCCTGTTCTGTGCTGCCAGGCCAGCTGCTGGAATACTCCTTTGTCAAGGAGTGTGTGTTTGTGTGTGCGTGTGTGTGCGTGTGTGTGTGTTAGCCCATGTCATTGTGCAGCCTGAGATTTGCATCCTGTTCATGAATAGATCAATAAGTAAAGTGTGAGCTTCCACTCCAGCCAGCTGAGTCTTTTCATCTCAGCCATTAATATATCCAGATATTACACGTTTCTGTGACCTCTGTGAAGCATGAGAGGCTTCGGCTTCATCTTGTTTATCATTCTTGTATCCGTTTCCTTCATGGGACAAGTCTGACTGAGTAACCTCAACAACCAGCAGTGAAGCCACTGAGAAACTGGCAGTGTCAGTAAAACTAACATCGTCATTCATCATGAAGAAGCCGGGGTGTATATAGGTCAATACATTAGGTTCAACATAGAGCTAAATATTATATTAAAGGAGCAGTTCACCGCTTTCTTTCTGAGAGAGATGTAGGGTTGATTGGATCAAATTCATGTCAGAGTCTTCAGTTTGAGCCGGACTGAGGATGTGGTCTTAAAACCTGGTTCTGTCCAGGAGCCAGTTTGACAAAGACAACTCAGACCGGTCTGTAGTGTTGGTCCAGTTTTACTGTTGCTCACAGATCAGTCTGATGTTTGTCAGACTGTTTCACAAAAACAAAGACTGACTCATTTTAAGACAAAAACATTAGAAGCCCTACCCCCAGGGAACAATCAGACACCTGTGCTGACCAGCAGCACCCATCAACTAAAAACAGGAAAACATGGCTAATGTGACTAACATTGTTATGGAGACAGCAAACAGAAGGATTTTTTTTTTTTTTTTTTTTTAAATTGTTTCACACTTTGTTGTAAAGTGGTACAGAGGTGCAGTAATGTGATGAAATGAACAGGCTATTGCATTGGTAGTTACTGCTGCTGGAGCAGAGTGTTAACTTGCTAGCTTACTTTTGGACGATAGTAACGTGGTTTGCTAATCAATAAATAGCTAGAGTTAACGTCAGTTAACGTTACTCCCACTTTAAATTCATCAGGGAAATTTGGAAATATTAACATTATGAGTATTCAGGTGTTGTTTTCACCTGCTGGCTGTGTCATACATTTTATTGACGTCTGGTCAGCCAACGTTTGCCCTGCTTGTAATAGTCACACAGAGTTACTAAACTGAAATGAAAGTGTTCATTTATGCTGCATGCCATCTTCATTTACTCCTGGCCAGTAACATCTAGGCTGATGTCTACATGTCTAATCTTCAATCTTCTTAATTTGTCAAAAGAAATTTTTAACACTGGTGAGATTTATCAAGAGGTGTGAGCATCAGCCTACATGTGAATATCCCTTTGTAATTATACAGGGCCAGCCCAAAACCTCTACTACACCATACTGCAACCTCTGAACATTACATGTCTCAGAACTGATATTAATATAGTCAAGCAGATGAAAAGAGATTTTAGTAGAGGCATTTCTAGGTGAAATCTCCAAATTTTCCACCCCAACCCTAAATAAAAAGTTCTAAACACACACATAATAAAATTCAAACATTTCTGATATATAAATTACATATAGACAAGCTGTGAATAGAGCTGTTTCACTGAGTTTAGTAAATCTGTGTCAGTACTACATTCACCCACCAAATGGAGGCAAACACATGTAATCACCTGATCGCTCGGGTAGGGACACCGTGCAGACATGAACACAGACGGCTGGATGGAGTCAATATGAAAGCGAGACACTAGTGGATTGTCAGCACCAGACAAAACTTGCCCATGTGTGCTGTAGAACACATCATGCAGCTACATTAAGCGTATTGCATTTGCAGTTAATATTTTTTGTTTGTGCAATAATTTTTAATGTCTTCACTGGTTTCTTTAACATTCTTGTGCAATGCCTCATTTATATTGTATTTATAATTCATTTTATGTCACTTGTTTCTTATACTGTTTTTATTTGGTGGATTATTTTCTATCTAAAAGAACAGAAAATCTCAAAGACAAAGCTGTGCAGTTTCTGTGTGAGTGTATGAACATTGGTTGTGAAAAACTGACTGTGATGCCAGGGGGGCGCCAGCTAAAATCTTGCCTAGAGCACCAAATTGGTCAGGGCCGGCACTGACTGTTAGTGTATGGATGTGTTGGTCAGTGAGCTTTAGAGGTGTGCATAGGTTTATCTTTGAACTGTGGACAGAGCCGGGTGAGCTGTCTGTCCCTGTTTTCAGTCTTTGTGCTCAGTTCACCTCTGTACTGAACACACACACATCAGACTGATGTCTGAACATCTCGCCGGCAGAGAGAAAGGGTTCTTTAATGTTCGTTCACGGGACAAAACAAAACTGCCGATTCTGTTGTCAAAGAAATGTGCTAAATCACTGCTACTCTGATTTCTACATTTTTAGTTTTACTTTCAAATCAAGAGAAATCATGAACTCAGACCTGCTGTTAGACCCATTCCTGTCGACCCCTCCCTCTGTACTGTAGTAAACACACCACTGTGTGACGTTACATAACAGCTACACTATTATCTCAATCTGCAACAAACAAACTTCAAAGCTCTGTGCGTGTGTGTGTGCGTGTGTGTGTGCGCAAGGTTAATGAGGGAGTGGTGCTGATGGCTCTTTCCTGTTGTACAAGTTGTCGCCTCTTCGTGCACACACACACAAAAACACGCACACACACAAACACAATATGGGGGGTGAAAAGAGTCATGGAGGATGTGTGATTGTTTACCAAAAGTCCTGTGTGTTTGTGTGTGTGTGTGTGTGTGTGTGTGCGCACATGTGAGCCCTACCACACAGGTTTGCATGTGTATGTATGTGTGCATATAGAGCATCTAAACCCATACAGATGGACACTCTTTTCACCAAGCACGCACGCACACACACACACACGCACACACACGCACGCACACGCACACACACGCACGCACACACACACACACACACACACACACACACACACACACACACACACACACACACGCAAAACTGGACTGAGATAAAAAAGGAAATAACTTGTGGACACACTGTACTTCCTGTCTGCTGGCAGATGATTTCCTGTTTCCTGTCTGGGGTTTTGGAGGGAAGATGCACACATCCCAAATGATTTATTGCCATGGCAACAAAAGGTATTAAAAGAGGTGGAAAAAAAGCACATGCACACACTCACACACACATAAATGGAAATTCCATTACATTGATGTCTGAATAGAAGCTCCAGCACAAAATAAATTTCCCCGTAAACTGTAACACACACACACACACACACACACACACATACACACACACACCTGCTGGACTGAGGCTCTGGCCTCAAACAGCAGCTGGTCTCTGGGTGCTGTGGTAACATCTGTCCCCAAGACAACTTGTAGTGCCATATTATCATATATTATTACATTAGCGGACATATTGTAATCCTCATTTGCAGATGTTGGTGTGGGAGTGAACGTCATGTGTGAAGGTGTGTGTGCTTGCGTGCATGTGTGTGCGTACCTCGGGCCAGGAAGAGGTGGTTCAATGGGGGGTGAGCTCCTCTCTTCGTCTTCAGTCTTCTCCTGTTTGGTGTTTTGACTTTTCAGAAAACTCTTAGCTTCTCTGGAGTCTGCTGACACCTGTTGACTCACCCTGTCAGAGGAAACAGACACAAACTCTTTCATCAGGAGACACAGAAAACATCCTGGTAAGAGGAAACAGGTCAAAATGGTTAACTAGTAGTATATTTTTATCTTCTGATGTAATGACTGATTAGTTGGACTAATTAAACATTCGATTCATCTCACTGCAGAATATTCAGTGGTGTTGTCTCTGCCTTAATTGGTGCTTCGTGTGTTCAAATACTATGTTGTTTGATGATAGCAGCCTTTGTTTGATATTAAGTTGAATTGCGTAATTTACTTTATTTGTTCTGTTGAGAATGTGTATAATTTTAACTCTGCGGACACCACGTGTTCCCTATGCCTACGTATACTGCACACGTGCATCATGAATCAAATCAAAATGGCCACATTCATGCAAGACAAAGAAAAGCTGCTTTGTCTGCTGTACTTCTTCTTTTAAAGATGAACTGAAGAGTTGAGGGTAGCGGAAAACCTCCTCACACAGCCTCTCTTCAAACTCAGTGTCCATGTTTGTTTTCCAGCTCATGTGCAGCGGGTACCTTTGTAGCGTAGCGGCCGTGTGGACGTACCAAACTGGTGGGTACGCAGACGTCTAACACCAGAGCCTCGTGTACACCCAACAATGACAACATTTACGTGGCGTAACATAAATTGGCGTAAGTCAACATGAGTCTGTTGATGTGTCTCAATAAATGTACTTCCATACACACACTTGCTATTTTGAGTGCTTATGTGCATTCAAATTGACAAGTATGGCAACATGCAGTGTGTTATAAATACCTGGATGGTGCACTGAAAACGGTCCAAAAACTGATTGCAAAACAATGGACACATCTCACCCTCAACGGTCGTCATCTTGGCTACATAGCAGAAGGGGAGGGACCGGTGCAACCTAATTTCCATGTTGCATGACACAGGGGGCAGGCAGGAGAGTAAAACTTTCATTTTTAAGTCAGGCGAGCAAAGGCGGCGACAACTGAGGTCACATGTTGTGATCTTCATTTTCGGTGAAAGCACAACAGTAGTGTTTGTAATGAGACAGTGCTACCCTGTTGAAATGCATGCACTGAGCCAGTGAGTGTGTATGTGCCAGCACAATGAGCCACCATCAGGAAAACTTCATATCGTGGGGCCAGTCCCTGAATCCCTTATAAGGACCTGGGGAGAATTCTCCTGGTTGAAAACAGCTCTTGAGAACCTTCAGCCTGTAGATGGGACGAAGTTGTTCAAATGCCAGATACTCATAGACCGTCAACTCTCTGCACAGACACCATGCTCCCAGCATCCACAGAGGTGAATTTGAGGCTTTTGAGCAATTAACTCTACAAGTCCAGGTGCTGGTTGGAAAACCCAAGACCCTCTGTGCTGAACTCAGGTGTGGATCACATGTGTCCCGCCTGCTCAGTAAATTACCACCAGAACTGAGATTGTCATTCTGCCGCCAAATATTCCATAGACCAGGTGATTTTTCAGACTGGTTCCTTTATGAGTCCTGGTGTCAGGACGAAGAAGGGGTGAGGAACACTGATGGATCCGGGGGAGCCACAAAGTGTTTCTACTAAGAACCCAATGACTCAACAACAGACATCACTAAATAAAAGGAACAAATCAGAGCACTCCATTCTAGCAGGAGACGGACAGATGGATGGTGCAGTGTCAGCAGTAATGTGGACGTTGTACAGGACTGTTGCGGTGAAGAGGGAGCTGAGCCTGAAGGCAAACCTCTTGATCTTTCTTCCAACCCTCACCTCTGGCCATGAGCTCTGGGTAGTGACCAAAAGAATGAGATCGCGGGTACAGGTGGCTGAGATGAGTTTCCTCTGTAGGATGGCTGGGCTCAGCCTAAGAGACAGGGTGAGGACCTCGGACATCCGGACGGAGCTTGGAACAGACATAGTTCAGGCATCTGATCAGGATGCCTACTGGGTACCTCTCTTTGGAGGTTTTCTGGACACTTCCAACAAGGAGAAGACCCCGGGGAAGAGGAAGAACTAACTGGAGGGATAACGTATCCCATCTGGCCTGGGAACACCTCGGGATCCCCCAGGAGGACCTGGAAGGCGTTGCTGGAGAGAGGGACGTCTGTCTGGAATACCCTGTTTAGCCTAATGTCACCGCGACCCAACCCCAGATAAACGGAAGAAAATGAATGGATGGATGGAAATTTAGAGCATCTGTGACAATGTTGAGGAGCACTACTTCAATTTCAGACCTTCTCTACAGAGCAAAGAAGGTGGGATACAGGACAAGAAGAAACGCTGGAGTTGCAGGAGATGTCACCGAACGTTCCAGCATCTGCCAAACACAAATTTAATCTCCACAGCTGCAGAGCTCACTGCCTCCAAACCTCTGTGTTAGAAGGTAAATTATAAAACAGCACGCGCGCGCACACACACACACACACACACACACACACACACACACACACACACACACACACACACAGTAAGAGACACACATCTGTGTCCATAGTGTAACTGTGGGGTTAGAAAGGACTATATGAGGAAAAACCGCTGCATCCTCTGGGAACATCAGCACTGCACAGACACCACAACCACTTGCATCCATCAAGAGGGCTGAAAGGCTTTCCCTGTTATGCATGCTAATTATATTCAGCCATAATTACACAGAGCAGAGCACACAGCTCCACAGATGATGAGGAGCAGCATTTTGAAAAGGCGAGTTTCTTCTCAGCGAGAGAAAGACATCCGAGCTCCAAATATTAAAAAACTGAAGAGACCAACCATCAGGTTCAGGTGATGGGTGTCTGGATACCGTCTGACATATTGTCATGTTTGGACCTTTAACCAACTTCACTGCAGAATAAATGTTCAGACATAACACATTGGAGTCAGTAGCATTTACTGTGGCTCTGGGGACTGGCTACAACCATCATCCATGTACTAATCTGATGCTGCTGTAATTACAGAGCACACAGCTTCATACATAATGAATCAGATGAATTATACCCAGGCTCATATTTAGTCTCTGAATAAAGCCTGCTCACATGTAAACAGTTAGAGGGGGACATTACTCGCCCCACATAACTAGCAGGGGTGTGGCTGTCTGTGTGATATACAGCACGTTCATCTTATACACTGATAATTAAGACTGTTTTTATGGGAACACTCAGCTGTTTGTGTGGCTCTTATTGAAGGAATGTCATGAGCTGTGATAATTACTTGGGTTCAGTTATGATACGACTGCAAACTCAGACCGTCCCAGGGGCCCATGAGACCGTTCACACTGTCAGCTCCACATAATTAAGGGACAGGATTACTGCTTACAGTGTAGGATCAATTGTAAAGGTCTGGCCTATGAGTGCAAACACGCTGCCGATACTGATTTTAAATGTATTTCCTGTCTTTAGTCGTGTAAATTTGAAAATGTTCATTACATTCAACATGAACCAAAGTGTTAGACAAAATGATTTTACAGTTTTTAGAGCCTAAAGGTTTGTAAAACTTGTCCTGAGGATGGTACTAAGGGAGGGGTGATGGGGTCTTTAAAGTGAGAAGAATTCATTAGCCTGGAAAAATAAGTGTTGACCTGATGGTGGCGCTACAGGTAAGGTCAAGACAGGATAACAAAGGCAAACCACGCAGAGCTGTAGTTCATCCTCGGCTGCTGAGGTAGGTCAGTCACAACAAAAAGGACAAGGAGCGACTGCACCAGAGACAAATTCCACTGATTACAAGTTTCATTCATAAATTACAGACCACTACGAGACAAACCCCCACCATCAAAGACCTGTATTGTGATGGAAACAACATACAGGGAGCTGGACTACCACGGTTCCCTCTGTTCCATTTTTTTAACCAATCATGGTTTCAAAATTTATCATTATCAATTTGTGTGTGTGTGTGTGTGTGTGTGTGTGTGTGTGTGTGTGTGTGTGTGGGGCACCATCTACTGGTCAATATGAGAATGGTTTGGTTTGATCATTATTGTACAATATGAAGTTACTGCACAGAATGGATAAAAAGGCTTCTATTAACAGATTGTCAGGAACTGAACGCAAAATTATTAAATAATCTTATTAGCTGTCATGTTTTTCTAATCCATCTTTCAGTGTTGGAACTTAAAAGCTCTGATTTTATTTTTTTTTACCAAACTGAATTATTTACATGTTGATGCTTTTCCTTCAGAAAACTTGGTTGTGTTCTAAAACATTTTTTTTTTATACTAAGCTAAACTGTCTCAAACTTTTCAGATGATTCATACCTAACTTCTTCTCCAGCGAAGTCAAAAACTTTAGTGATGGTGACTGTTGCAGGTTCCGATGCTTTTGTGTCTGCACTCACAGGAGCAACCTTCAACACCGAAGAAGTGGCCTGAGGATCAAAACAAGACAATCAGTCTGAGAGGGAAAACATGACACACACTGAAAATGCTGCAGGTTTGATGTGTTCTGATGATCCTGTGTATCCTGAGTCAGAGACCAGATGAACAACCACACAAACATTTTATATGTTTGGGTTTTAACATCCTTGAGATTAAACATGGTACCAACTTAGTCATACAGTGAAAGAAAAAGCAGGTGAACCCTTTGGAATCATATATAAATCATTTATGTTTAAATTTGTCCTAAAATATGATCAGATCTTCATCTAAGTTATGAATATGAACAAACACAATCTGTTTTAACTGATAACAAACAGATCACTGCATTGTTCTTGTTCAAACATTAACAGTGTATCTGGAAAGTGTGTGAAGCCCTCCACTAATGACATGAACAGAAGCTAACTGGAGTCAGGAGTTATCAGACCTGGAGTCAGTCAGTGAAACCACATTGGAGGTACACTTTGGTGAAACATCAGCTGGTGTGAACCAGGCCTCACAACAAAGATCTCAGAGAGTGAGGATGAAGAAGAGTTGATGAGCATGAAGCTGAAAGGGTCACAGAGTCATCTCAAAGAGTTCAGACCTTCATCAGTCAGACAAACTGTCTATAAATGGAGATGATTCAGTTCTGTGGCTCCTCTCCCTAGAAGTGGATGTCCAGCTCAACACAGATGATTAGTAACAGAGAGTAACAGCTGAAGGCTTAAAGGAACCGTTGGATCACTGGTTCACATCTCTGTTCATGAGTCGACCACACACAGATCATGGAGTCCTGTTGCCATAGACACCAAAGAGGAAGCTGCTGCATCACTGAGCTGAAGTCTGACTCTCCACAACACTACTCGGAAAATGTTTGATGGACTGATGAGCCTGAGGCTAAACTGTGTGAAGAACATCAGCTCTATGTGTGGTGTAAACAGGTCTCTGCACACCAACATGAAGACATCCTCCCACAGGTGAGGCAGGTGGAGGGAGCATCAGGATCTGGGTCGCTGCTGCTTCTGGACCTGGACAGCTCCACATCATCAAGTTTATCAAGGTTTCTTTCAGGATGATGTCAGGGTGTCTGTCCACCTGCTGAAGCTCAGGAGAAGGTGCTGATGCAGCAGGACAATGACCCTCAACATCAAAGACAATCCATCTACTGGAGTGGTCCAGTCAGAGCTCAGACCTGAATCCAGTGGAGATGTTATGGACTGCGCTGAAGAGAGAGAATCTGTCTGACTGAAGCAGCTTTATAAGGAAGAATGATCCAAACTTCCTCCTGAACATTGAGCAACTTTGATCATCAGCTACTGGGACAGCTGGTTTCAGGTTCAACCAGTTATTAAATCCAAGGTTCACTGACTGTTTCCAGCTGCATTGTGAATGTTTAATGACTGTTCAAACAGAGATTATAATCGTTTGTGTGTTATTAGCTGAAGCACATTGTGTTTGTCTGTACTTGTGACTTAGATGAAGATCAGATTACAGTTTATGAGCAGTTAACGCAAAAGACCATTTCCATTTGGGTCTAGAACATCTTTACCTTCTGTTCGGTACTGGACTGGGAGGTAGGTGTGGATTCTTTGGGTCTGGATCCGACGTCAGACAGGAAACTCGCCCAGAGGTCATCAGATTTCTTCTTCTGTTTTGCTTCATCGTCCACCTCTACCTCAGTGGGTTTTACCAGCTCTTCCTGTGGCGGCTGCACCTCCTCAGCTCCAGCTCCATCCCTCTCCTCCGTCTCTATCTTCAGGACTCTTATCTTCCTCTTTCTGTGGGTGTTTTTCAAGGATAAGGTCATCATCATTGGCATCACATCCCTTTATTAAGAAAAGCCTGAGATTTTTCTTTCATTAAAAATAAAACAAACACCTCTAGCCAATGACAGCAGAGTCAAACATCTTTGGGTAATAAAGCTGCCTCTGAATCATGGTTCTACATCAGTGCTTTGTAACTTTGCTCTGCCTGTGAACTTATTTGTAGTTAATAAATTATAATTGTAGTTCATAAAAAAATACACCATGATTCTGACTAAGGATGGGTACTGAACCCCAGTATTAAACGGGCCCCGGGGCCAAATTTTTGAAGACCATAGTACCGATAAGCTCTGACGTTATTGGTCCTGCTCTTGGTACTGGAGAAATAGAAGAAAGGGGTGGGATCAGCTCTGTGTCACACAGTGGAGCACCATGTGACACACACACACTGGGTGCTGGTGAAGTAATGTAGTAAATCATATCGTATTACATTTCCATCATTACAAAATCAGTCTATAATAGTGATTTGTTCAAAACAATGCTGTTGAAGTTTGTTTAAGCACCAGATCGATAAGAGAACCTTAAAAGTAAGGGATCGATGAGAGAACTGTTAAAGTATCGGATCAATAAGAGAATAGGGTTGTCACGATAGAATTTCAAACTTGATACCGATACCCAGGAAAAAGCTCGATACCATTTTTGATACCACAGGGAGAAAAAATGACAATAAATTAAGAGGCATAAAAATGTATTTAATATAGATTAGACAATGCAATAACATACAACAACATACAAGAATGATAACTTAACAGACGGCTAATGTGGCTATCGGCTAATTGCTAATAGTTAAACAGCTATTTAAACAGTTTATGATACCTGTTTAATACTTCAATGTTGTTGAAACGGGAGCTTTACTGACCTCTCGAAACTCCTCATAAAGACTGGGGTGTCGGTCTTTAAGATGCTTCGCCAAGTTTGTTGTGCTACTAGACTTCGTCGCCACCACTTTGTAGCATTGTTTGCATATAGGCTTATCAGTATCCTTAGCCTTTCCCTGCTCGTTTCCCTCGTATGCAAAATAATTCCAAACGGTACTTTTGCTTTTGTCATTTTCAACTAAAACAGGTTGAAAAGGTCCTTCAGCAGCAGCACTTGCCATGTTAATTTGGTTTTATGCTGGCAACACCAGCCAGCTCAGTGTTGTGAACGTCAACTAGTGTTCATGTGTTTAGCTGCCAGTGAGGGAAGGGGCTGTGATGTGGTATCGATACTGTTGAAAATGAGCATCGAATCCAATACTAACTCTTATTATAAATAAATATCTGAGTATCGATTTTTTTGACAACCCTATAAGAGAACCTTAAAGTACTGGATTGATAAGAGAACCGTTTAAGTGACGGCTCGATGAGAGAACCTTTAAAGTAAAGGATCAATGAGAGAACCTTTAAAGTACTGGATCAACAAGAGAACTGCAAAAGTACAAGATCAATAAAAGAGCTGTTAATGCACCGGATCAATAAGCAGTATGAGTTAAAGCAGTAGTACTGTTAAAATCTTAATGATACCCATCCCTAACTCTGTCAAACCCTCTCACCTCATACTAATGTCCTTTTTCTTCCTCTTCTTCTTGCTGACATCATCAGGGTGTGGCACATCGTCATCCTCGCGCAGAGGGTCTTCCTTTTCACACTCATTAAGGTCATCCTCGCTGAGGTTATCGTCTAAGGAGGAAGAGAACAGGAAGCAGTGGAAATGAGAACCACGAGATCACAGGGATACGTTGCTTTTTCACTGCGGTATGAAAAAATGCATACATTCACAGCCCAGAACACTTTACTGTTGACGCCAGTTTCATTATTGAAGGTTTTTCACACATTTAACCGACCGTGACGTATCAGTGGTGGATAATGATTTCAACCATATCAAAGAGAACCAGGATTCAGTTTGGTATATCAGGCTTATGAACTTCACCTAGACCTTGTAACCTGTCATTATGATGGAGTACAACAGTTGGCAGTATCTGACCCCTCATCAGTCTGTAGTGCTGGGTTGAGCACGTAATTTACATCTTCAGTTCTGACTCGACAGTTGTTTTCTGACGTATCCACCACACTACGTAGCACACATAGTAGTCCATTTCCTGTTGTACTGTTGTTTCCTGAGTACACAACAGTAATGTTTGCAGAAGTTTTTCTTAACTTTATGGAACTTGGTGAAACCATTTTAATGGCACAATGTCACCGGAGTTCTCCAGCTCTCCTGCAAGAGTGTCACTGATGTTGACCTGGTGATGACCTGCACCAGAGAACTGGACCCCAAATAGAAAGGATGGATATGAGGTGACAATCGGCAACTTCTCTGTCTGAACGCCTTGCCCTCTGTTTTCTGTGTCCTGTCGAGATGGTAGGCCTGTGTTGTACTAATGTGTCCCAAAGCCATGTCACAGCCAGCACACATTTGCGTTGGAATAAACACCATGTTGCATGTTTGGTGTCTCTGACACAGAGGGACACTGACTGTAATATAAAGTGCTGTGTGTTGACCATGCTTGGCTGTAGTTATGTAATGCGTATGTCTAGCTGTGAACCTCACAGTGTAGGAAAACCAGCGTTATACTTTATCCCTATTTCGCAAAAAATGACTGAACAATATATTTTCTCATGTTCTGTCCCTCTCTCACACAGCAGTGTGGCCCCTGGTAGTTCCACAGCATACAGGTACAGACTCAGGACTCTGGTAGAGGTCTCAAGGAAGATTTGGGATGCCCTTGTTGCAAACCACATGCCAGCTCCAAGACAGGACTGTGAGGTGGATCATCCCCAGTGGCTTATGTGCTGTTGATGGCAAACAGTATTAGCTCCCGTCTGCTCAGTGAAGGTACAAGAGATGAAACGCTTATCCATTTCATGCGACATCACAGTAAAAGAAGCCTGACGGTTAGTATTATCCTTTGAATTTTAATGATTTTTGATTACCGTGGTTAATTTAACTCACGTTAAGTTCTGTACGTCATCAACCAGCAACAGTCTACCAACACATGTGCGGAAAGCAACGTGGGTTTGTTTTGTCAGTCAAAATATGTAGGAAGGCAATTTTTTAAAAACCCTTTTACAGCAGAACTACTGCGTATGAGCAAGTTTTTAAATGCAGGTAAACCTACTAAAAACAACTGACACCAACACAAACACTAGGGAGAGAGAGTGAGCTATTAGCTGCCATGCAGACTGGAGAAAACGGCTTTGTCGTGTCTCATCCCCAGGTTGGAGCTCCTGTCAGTGTCAGAGCCATGTGAGTTTTTTTGAAACTTTATCAGGGCTGCAGCTCACTCTTTCATCCCTGAACTCAGTGTAGCTGCAGAGTTTCTGGTTTTACAGCACTGTGCTGGACAGGTGACAGGCTCTGAAAGACGTCACAGCAGGAAAATAATAATACACTTGCTATTCTGTTGTTTACAGTGGGCATGCAGCAGGCAAACCCAGTGCTGCTAATGGTCCCTTGTCCTCGTCTGTGACACAGATGTGCTGGACATGTTATTATTTCACTGTTTAAATGCAAACATTCACTTGGTGAAATGATTTAAGGTTGTGTTTTGTTACTTATTGAACATTTTCAGCACATTTTAACAACACCATGATAACAGTGATAACTGTGATCATTTTAGTCACTATAATCATGATATCAAATTTTTATGCCATTTCATCTCTAGAAGGTACAGACACATTATCAGCAATGAAAATGTGGAGGCAGGTGTGAAGGAAACATGTGTCTCGACAATTTCATCAAGAGAACTGCAAGAGATCCTGGAATCATTAGAATGGGAGATGGACGCTGTGGCAGGTCTTACTGATGGCAGAGACCTTGGTTCCCCTGTACTCCACAGTCTATGACAATGCCATAAAGACTACATTCATTTATTGTATCTATAATGTTCAGGTTTTTTGACATTCATAGAATTACCAATTTAATTCAATGAGTAATGTAGTTGTTGGTGGCGTGGTACTGGAGTGCACTATTTTCAGTAATGTTTCTAACATTGTAATATATAATCACCTCTGGATGTAAACATGGAGGACAAAAAATTAGAAACACCTCTTGATATAATGTAGTCCAGTGCAACATGCAACATCACTTTGAACTATGATCTCCGAAATAAACATATCTGATTTTACACATTTAAGACAATGTCATCAAACTGAACATTATAAACTTCGTAAAGGTAAAATTTATGGCAGAGCTGTGGCATTTAAATACAATAGATTGAACAGATGTACCTTACACAGTGGCCACTAAGTCGAACATCTACCATATCTACTTATTTATTTATCACTGGACTAATTTCATTTTGTCAGTAATCAACCTTCACTTTAAACACCAAACTCTGTGTGAATGTGACCAGATTTACGTGTAAATTTGCCATAGCTGATAGGTGAGTGAACTGGTCAGGGAGACGTTAACCTGACAACTGGGAGGACGGTTTGTAACCAGTAATAAACAATGTGCCCGTTAGACTAGGTCTAAAATTACGTTAACCACAGCAAGTACATGCTACTTGATGAATCTAATTCAACCCGAAATTACCAGCAGACTCTATTATTTTGAATCGAGTCTTAAGTCATGTTCATCGAGGTGTGCAAGTTTGAGAAACCAATAAATGATCGTTTTTTTAACGGACTTCTGCACAGTGACACTAAACGCAGGTAAGGACGAGCATGAATGATATATATTGTACACTATATCATGTAGCATGTGTGTTGTTAGTCTACGTGACCTCAACACACGATTAAATTCACTACGTCCTGTAGTAACTCGTATTTACTAATCGCTAAATCTAGCACAGCTCCAGGTGACTCCAGTCCTCACCTGACGGGATGTAGTCTGCGTCTTCATTAGACGAGTATCCGTCAGAGTCGTAGTCAGAGTAGTTCATCATTTTGGAGGAAAAGCTCCTGACTCAAAATGAAGTAAATGAAACAGCTACAAGGCGCCGGTATGTTTCCTACCAGCCTCGGTGCTTTCACAGCGTCACAGACGTCACTCTAATAGACCATAAACGTCTCTTTACTAACAAAAACTGAATTTAAACGCGGCTCTTTTAGTTCTGTGCAAGATAAAAACAAACTGATTGTGTGAAATGTATGAAATGTGGTTCTATTGGAGCTTTTCTGGAAAATGAAGAACACAATGTAACTTCCTGTAGCGACGGCGAGCTCGAAGGCTCAATTCCAATCCGCCCCGCCCCTTTTCACTCTCTTCCCTAAACGCTTTTACTGCCTTTGAGCGTGCGCGTGGAGGCTCCGCCACATTAATTTTCGTCACCGGAGGATGTACGCCGGCCTTGTGCGCGAGTCTCTTGTAACGGCGCTCGCTAACCTGTCGCTAACCCACCAGTTATAACTGCGTGGCTACACTACCCGCGTATCGACTGCGCATGCGCCAAACTGGCCACAAACTTCACAGGTGCAGGAAAACAAGCATGGTGATGGTGGGAGACGGATCACAGTTGCTGAGGTCGAAAAGTCAAAATAATCTCCTCTAACCACTTCTCCTCCACCTCGATTGAAAACGTCAAGAGGTCAAGGAAAAATGTGCAGGAGAATTCATAAGGATTTAGGAAAATAATCTGACTACACTTAGACTACAAATTTTTTTTAAACTAACTTTATTTATAACACGAGACCTACGCCTTTCCTAACCACAAACACAAAACAAACAGGACTGAAATATTGAAACTGAAATATGATAACATGAAAAAAAGTAGAGTAGCCTAAGTAAAAAGAGTTGAGCCATTAAAATAATTCAATAAAAATAAGCAGCTGAGACAGAAGTAGGTTAGCCTATATAGAATTTGTTTGTGTACATTTGAAGTAGAGAAAATTAATTTTTGGTGCAGTGAGCAGTTTTGAAACAACATTTATGTATAGATTGTTATGATGATGATAAAGATGATAAGCTCTGCACTGATTTGAAGGAGAGGAAATCTCTGGATTTCCATCAGTTCTGGATCGCGTCACAAACAAAACAGCTGCTCTGTTGTTTCTACATTGACATGGGTATGCCTGGTGAAATTACAATCCTACATTGTTTTAAATATTGACGCAGCAAGGAATTGTGGGACGGCATTTCTCCTTTCCTTTTGTAAAGGAAGCTTCAATGTTTCCTATGCTAAAGGAGATAAGATAGGAAGCACTGAAGCTCCTTTCCTCATCATTTAGAGAAGTGGAGCAGCTGTGATCATGATGCTGCTCAGATACTTCAGCTCACTTCACTCAGTTTGAACCTTCATAAGAAAGAAAGACTTTTGAACCACAAATGTCCCCTACAAATTTGTTGCCTAACAACATAAAACAATTTTAATGTAAAGTCACACACAGATACTACCTTTTCACTTTCATTATTCGTAAATTTATCCTCAGTGTAGAAGACAAATGCTATTTTTGTAATTTCATGGTGGAAACTCTTGAACATGTTTTTACTCAATATGTGCATGTGACAATGTGCTGGGCTGATTTTCAGTTGGATCTTAAAATGATATTTTGGACATTTCACCTAAAGAACATGATTTTTATTAATATTATACAATCCTAATAATCCTCCAGCAATGAACAATATATAATTGGTCATTTTAACCAAATGCTACATTCATGAAATTTAATTTTTGAAGAAGTTGTCATCTTATATGACACTTAAATGAGCAGATCTAAGCATGTATCTTGTATTATCTTGTATTAAGAAATTAATTTAATGCAAAGTAATTTATGCAAATTTATACAAATTCTTCGGGATTATACCTGGCTGACTGAAGCTCTTGTGGGGGTTCACATTTTTGTCTCGTTTGTTTGTTTTGTTTATTTTTTGTTGTTCTTCTGTTTGTAGGCCTACATTTCTTGCATGGAACTAATTGCTTTGTGCTTTTAAAGTTCTATTTATACTGTAGGAAAATATTTTTCAATAAAGAATTAAGGAGAAAAGTTGTCAAATATTTAGGAATCACTAGAAGTAAATATCCAGGTGAAAAAATTTCACTTTTTATTTTTAACCAAAAGTTGAATAATTAAAATCCATTTTTAATTGTTGGTTACAGAGACCTTTCTAGTGTGGGTGGTATTTTACTTTCTCAGATGAAAGTCTGTCCAGACTGGTGTATTCAGCTTTATCTTTATGTGTTGATCACATATGGAATTCATATGGAAAGCATTCATATGGAAATATAAGACAGAGTATGTACGGTTACATCTGATAACACATGAGCAACTCTACACCATCAGGGCAGTCCCACAGCATATGTAAATAAGAAACAGAAAAGGACATAAGATAATGGCTGAAATAGAGCGTCTAAAAGAAGCTGTTTGTTTTACTCCTGATGGGACAAAGATATTTAAACACACTACTGTGTCAGTTTTAGTCAAAGGGGCTGAAGTAATGATTACAGTCAACCTAACCTGCTGCATTAAAGGGCCTGCTGGCTATGGAGGTCGCTGACCATGGCTCTACAGCGTTCACAAAAGCTCTCTGACCAGCAGAGGGGGCTGTTTGGTTAAATTAGCCCTGAGTCTGAGACCTTGTTGGGGTCTCTGGAGACAGGAGTGAGACACAAACACACACATTACTAGTGCTACCAAAACTACATGACTATTTTCATCATTGATATTTTCTTGATTATTTATTTATCTAACAACCCCAAACAGTCAACTTATTATTATGTAACACAAAGAAATGCAGCTGATTTTCACATTAGAGAAGCTTAAACAAGAGAATGATAAAGTTAAGGTTGAATGAATTTTTGTTAATGAATCAATGGATTAGGTTAAAGTTGCTCACACATATTCTTAAAAAACTGAAAATGAAATAGATTTAGAATTACATGCTAAGACCTATTGAAGGTAACTTATATGACAGGTGATTTCTTGTAACCTACAGGAGCAGTAACTGATACAATTATTGTTATTTGAGAGTTTCGCTCATCATGATCTGCTGGTTCATTGCCTGTCTCACCTGTCCTCTCAGCTGCATCTATAAAATGTGAGGATGTCAGCAGATGGTAGAGTACAGGACACTGGCATCACCTTTTCATGCCACTGTTAGAATTTTTGAGGGCACTATATAGAGCATAACATCCACACTCAGAACTGGGACACTAAAATAAAGTGGTGGCGGTGCCTTGTAAAGCAAACAGTAACAGATTTTGGACACAGTCAGTGGCTGCAGTTTCTTATGACGGTTCAAACTGAGTGGCCCTCTGTGACATGTCACGTTACCTTGACAATGCCAAAACATTTTGGGTCCAGGTTTGGGACTTTTGATTTTACATGTTTTATTCCCTATTTTCCCTGTTTGTAAACAAAATAAATAATGTTGGATCAGATTTGATGAAAGCAGATTTGTAATTTATCATCTTGTCATCACAGGACAAATAACTACACCAGTGAACTCTGTGTTCATACTTACAGGTAAACTTGTAATGCTAACATTTGGGTTTGTTCCTTTCATGCTTGTTTGTTAACCGTTCTTCTTCTACCTTATTCCTTTTTTTAGCTTCTGGGCATCCTTGTAATCACGTTGTTTAATGTCACAACATTATGAACTTTGGGTAATTCCCTTAGGCAAAGAAGGGGGGGATTTATACATGTCCAGTCTCTGTGTCTGATGATGATGATGAGCACAGTGCTCATTGTAAGGCCTCACACACCTGCCTGAACACAGCCACTCTCAAATCTGAGTGAAAGCCCTTTCAACCCAGATCCAACAGGCTGCTACTGAATGCTCTGTATGTGGGACGGAGTCTAAATAAACCAGTGTGTGTTCATGGTAATGAAGGAACATGTGACTCACCTTGAGCTTTACTCCTTCCAAAATAAATGTTTGTGCAACACTACAAGATATATATAAAATAGAAGATGGTTAAGCCCACACCACATGACAAATCCGTCCACAACTTGTATGTAAATTCAGCTCCAGGCAATGAACTGAGAAAGGAAAACATTTCACAATTCAATCTGCTAACTCACAAAAAATAAGTGTTGATATGGGGATACATGCAAGGAGCAGATGGAAAAAAAAAGGATAAAGTTAAGTTAAAGATTCCATATTGTGGGATAAGTGAGGTCTAGGTCTAGGTTCTATATTAACACTGTGAAAGTATCAAAGCCTCAGTCCACAGAGAAATTCATGCAGCCTGTATTCAGAAACTGAGCCTTAAAACCAGCTGTCAGGACTTCTGGAACTTCAGCCGCTTTTCCACCACAGAAACTTTCCCCAGGAACCAGGAACCTTTTGAGGATCTATGCGTATTTCCACCGCAGGAACCAGGGACTAAATTTAGTTCTGGGGTATTTGATCAACCCCCAAAAAGGTACCTGGTCGGGGGGTAGTACTTAGTACTCGGGGGACTTAACCCTGTAGTCTCACAATGCTATTGGATCGTACATTTGTTTATAAGTCACACCTTCTGGCCATGAACTCACACAGCCTCTCAAGGTTTCCTTCGAACAACATCTCTTTGTTTCATTGGACTGGATTCATCAGATTCAAGTAAATAAAATGTCTTTTATATTTTTTTTGGTTGTTATTACAATGTCTAGAGCATGTACATATGTAGTTATTGTGGAATAGATGCATCAAATTTCATTTAGAGCTTGTTATATAACTGTTGCAATTATACAACACTGGGTGAGTGTGGTAGTCAAAATAGCAGGCTTGTTGCACACCTCCCATTGGATGTACGCAAGGACCTAGTTGCACATTTCCCAGGGAAGACAGGGAGAGGATGCTGCAGACACTGCAATAAAGGATACACCAAGTGTGATGTTCGCCTTTGCTTTTTAGAGGACGAGAACTGTTTTTGGGACTTTCACCACCAATGAAAGTCAGTCATGAAAAGAAAAAAAGAAAAAAAAAACTAGAGTTTTATCTTGTTTAATAGTTTTTCTTAATAAATTACTTCATAAAAATATGACTAATGTGTGATTATTATTAATGTTATATACCTTTATGGGGCTAAGTAAGCAATCAACCCTGCAAATGAACCCTTAGTTGTTCTGAATTGTTGTTCAGACAACGTGAGTACAAATACAGAGATTCTGCTCCTGGCTAAGCCCAATGTTGCAATATCACAACATTTCTCTAAAAACGTACATAAACATTTTTTTTTTTTAAAAAACTCTTTAATTTCTCTTTAATCAAAGGGCCTCC